ATCTTTCTTTGTCGCCATGGTCACAACGACTACAAAGATCATTTCTCAACTCAAGCCACCTGGGATCAGATTTGTGAAACTCGTCCAGTAGTTTGGTGGAACAAGCTGGTTTGGTTCCCTCAATCTATTCCCCGTCAGGCTTTCATTACATGGCTAGGAATCAAGGATAGGCTCGCAATAGGGAACCGAGTGGCTCTTTGGGGGCAACCTAAGCAGTGTATTCTTTTGCGGATAAATTAATGAAACGCGGGACCATTTGTTCTTTGCATGTACCTATGCGTTCACCGTTTGGGACTGGCTCACGTCTGGTCTCCTTCAAGGCCGCACCAATCCGGATTGGGAGATAACAATTCGCTCCATCACAAGCTGCCGGAGGAGTAAGGAAGACTCCATTCTTGCCAACCATCTATGGAATCTGGAGGGAGAGGAATGGTAAACGCTATCAACTCCCCCCTCGTTCCGCTCTTGTGCTCGCTCACACCATTGACAAGGACATCTGTTCTCGTTTAAGATCCTTGATTCCTGCTCGCGATGATGACAACTCGGCCTTACTTGCTCGTTGGAATAGTGTGCGAAGTATTCCTCTTCAATAACCACGAAAGCCTCTGGTTACCTTTTACCTTTTTTAAGCTCTGTTATATTTGTTGATCCAATGCTCTGTTCTGGGCATCGAGTTTTTTGATTCTGCGATAAACTCCTTGTACACAATTCATATTTTGTTGATCAATTAATATAACATTTCAGCAAAAAATAAAATAAAATTTATGGGCTTTTTTGCTGCCCTTAAAAATATGGTTATATGAGCAGCTCTAAAATCCTTGCTTCATGGGCTTTAGCCCAGGGCCGACCCTGCTTCTAGTTTCAGAGTTGGGCTTTGGCTTTTCAAAACATTAGGTTAAGAATAAAATCTCTGGTTCGGATTTCATATTTTTAGCCAAACTTTAAAGAAGAAAAAAGAATACATCAAAAAAGAATACATCAAAATATCAAATTCTAAAAAAAGATCTCTTAACCATCGAATCAATCCTAAATTTGTCAATTGACTGCATGTTCAATCTAGAGATGTTTAATTTCAACCTAAATTGTTGTTATTTACTACAATTTCTCTTACAAAAATAATTTTAACAATTTTTCATAAATACTTAAATAGAAAAAAACAAAGAGAAACACGAAATAAAATGAAAAAAATAAGAAGAGGTGGTTTGGTCAAAGATCCCAAAAAGATAGAATTTGCTGATAACTCCAAAATCATATCTGAAAACAAACAAAACAAATTTGCGTAATTGACAACTAGTTAACTCTTCGTTCACGTTAGACAATTAAAAACATCTCCTTCGTAACATAAAAGAGGATGGCCGCTGGATCCATGGACGAAATGTTTCGCAGTATCTTAGTAGGTGCATTTCTAGTTGTGACTCTTCCCTCGAACGACGTCCATACCACAAAAAATGCGGCTGCACGCTTCACGAAAAATTTCACAGTGCACGTAAGAATTCAAACTTAGGGTCCAGGTCTTGTCGCCACAAGTGGTTCAGGATTGCCTGGTTCCCTATCAGACGGTCGTGGAGTGAAGGTAACTGTATGGCTCTAAATCTCACCTCATCTTCTTCTTCCTCGAATCTCCACTCGCTTTTGCTATCTTCGTCTATTTCTACAGTAGCATCGTTATCTTCTACAACTTATTTGACAATATCTGATATTGATTCTTCCATTGAAGGCTTAAATTAAGAAATCCCATTGAGTTACTATTTTTTTTTTTTGACTATATGGATAGTTTTTAAATAATTTTTAGTGCCTTTTATTTCTTTTAAGTGTTTTATTATGGTTTTCTAGTTTTTGTAGCTTCAATACTCTATTCAGGAAACTTAAGTAAAAGCTTTGAAAATTGGATAGAAAACCATATTTTCAGCTCAGAGTCAAACCGTCAGAAGTTCACCCTCAAATGAAGAATTTATCACCGTTTGATCCAGCTCAAATTTGGAGACCTTAAGATGGAACAGCCAGCTTTCCAGCACACTGGACACCATAACAGTCCAATGGTTCAATCCAAAATTACGCGAAGAGCAAGAAGTTCTGTCAACTAGCAGGCCAACATTCCTGACCGCGGCCAGCAAACATTTTCCACCGATCGCGTGCCCTCTGACCGCGGAGAATACACTACTAGGCCAAGAAGCCCATTTCCAAGCCTAAATTGATTCTCTCATTTGTAAAAAATCTAAGTGACATCCATATATGACTTGAGCACAAGGCCGTGCCTGTGTAGAAAAATTTGAAACTTTGGCCTACAGGTCTTTAAAAAAAAAAATTATACTTGAATTTTTGTGATTATTGTAATATTGGAGTAAAAAAACATAATGTTATTAGAGGTTTTAAAACAAATTACAGTATAAATTATTAGTAAAAACTAAGATATAGTAAAAATAAGACAACTAATATTAATCTTTTTCGCACATATGATATTCACCGTCATTTTACCACTAATAACATTATACTTGTACTAATTTATCAAAAACTTATACTAATTTTTTAGTGCAGTTTTATATTTATTTGAAATAACGATAACTATTACTTTAGCAGAAATAATTTTTCTGTATATCGCTTCGGGTCTCCATAACTCTGGGCACGGCTCTGCTTGAGCACTATAAATACATGTTTTGGGAACCCTAGACTAAAGAATCTCAATTTTTTTTAGAGTTGTGTTAGTTGCATTTCATATTCCTTAGGTTGTTTTAGGTTTAAAAAGATAGAGATCTATCTCTTGAACCTTTTTTGTTTCTTTTCAGTATTTCAATACAATGTTTTTGCTTTCTTTAATCATGTCTGAGTAATCTACTTGTTGGGTTTAAGAGAATTTTTGATGGGGATATCATATGTTCGATGAGGATTCCATTAGCTATTAAAGTCGAATCTTAGAACTTTTTTTTCTAATCTTATTTTTAATGCATGAGAGTAGCGTCATGAACTATAATCTGATTTAGGTTCCTAGTGTTGTGAAAGTTTTCATTAGGGTCCAGATCTAGTTTGAGAAGAGCAATTCTGCCATAGGAGTGGAAACCTACCTATGGGTGAGTTTTGAATGTAGATGAGTCTAGTGCAAGATTGCGTACACTCGCTTCTGGGGCCAGAGTGGAAACCTACTGGTCAGGGTCGTTGGTGATCACGACAGTGACGTAGGCATATCTTCGAGCTCGAGTTCTAAAAGTTTTTCCTAGGATCTTTTAAATTACTTTTTAGAAATGTTTTGAATCGTTTGAGATAATTTTTCTGAAAATCCAGCGTCTTGTTTTTATAAGTCTTACATCGATTTTATTTTAAGCTTTAGTATTAGGTTTTTCTTCTTCCCAGCCGATTTTATTACATTTTAGCATTATGTCATTTTTAATTCCCGTTTTAATCATTTCTTCCTTTTCCCGTTTAATTTAAGATTTACGTTTTAGTGACACCCAAAAAACAGCTTTAAAATATCGATTAGTTCTAGACTTCCTTGCTTTAATTTCTTTCAAAGGTTTTTGCAGAAAAAATCCTCCTTCCCTGTGGTTTTGATCCCTAAGTACTACAATCGATTAGCTGTGCACTTGCGGTTTTAATTGATTCTATTAGGGTAAAACTTGTTCCCACACTTACACTACATCAAGTTTTTGGCCCGTTGCTAGGGAAGGCAAGCGTTTCCTCTTCCGCAAAACCCTGTAAATGTTAGTAAATTGACTCTAGAACACTTTTTTCTACTTATTTTTGTTTTTGGTTCTCTTTGTTTCAGGTTTTGAAGGAATGAACCTTATGGACCAAAATCCCTACTACGAGGAAGGTTTCTACAACACTCCCGAAGTAACCAGACGCAGAGAAGAGCATTATATGCGTGATCTTCTCAACTCGGTTCGAAACCCTAATTTAAAACATGAGCTTTACGGAAGTCGCGCGCCTCCTATGTACCGAGATGAAGCTTTGCCATCTCCTATGGTCAACCATAGACCATATGCTCATCGCCTACCTCATGAAATACTCCAGCAGGATGAAAACGTGCAGATCAGTAACCGTTTAGTGCAGCTTGAAGCCACAATCAAGCTGTTTATCATGTTCATGCTGTCTCAAAGGCCGCTCTTCATGAAAGAATTGATAGCATGTCAATTCACTTCAACAAGAAGTTTGAAGACCTCTCTGCCCAAGTCAAATCCATCAAAGCACAAGCAAACAGAGATGCTGCACTTATCCAAAAGAGAATAGAAGGCGTAGAAGGACGAGTTGGAGAGAACAAAACCAGCATCCGCAAAGCAAAAGGAAACATTCGTACTTTAGAAATCAAGCTCAATGAGGCGGAAGAAACTATGACTGACCACAACAACCAGAACTACTTCTATGTAGAGGAACTATGGAGCGGAGTAAATGAAGTTCGGGACAAAGCAGACGAGATAGACTCCACTGTAGACAAAATTGTCGATGCACTTGATGAAGTTGAAGAAAAGGTTACGAAGATCATTAAAGGACGTGAAGTACAAGACTCAACACCTCCCAACAATGATATTGACTAAGGAAAAGAGCACACTGAGCCAGAAGACCAGGAGACCGCTTAGAACGTAAAGGAGAAGGTGAATCAACCAAGTCACCTCGGAGTCCTTTCCCCGTGGTCGCATCACCCATGACTGCGGACAACAACCCCTCAGCCGCGGTCGTGCAAGCTTTACCCGCGGCCAGTGACCCATTTCCCAAGGTCCCGTCTTCTCTAACCGAGGCCAACCATCGGCCAGACTCTCATCAGTCCTCTTTTATTCATACAGGCCACTGCTCGTCTGATATTCCATAAGCTCTGAAGATAAAGATGAGGTACTACCATGCGACATAGACTTGGCTTATGAAGACGAATACGAAGAATAGTACCTTGAAGAGAAAGATTATCGTCAATTTTATTAAAGGAGGGAACCCAGACAACTCATTAGATCGAGACTCACCAATCTCTAGGGAGAGACTTATAGAATTCAACAACTTTGTGAAGAAAATCCATATCTATGAAGGTTTCGATGATACTTGGAAGCTTGGCTGTTTGCAAGTCTTCTTTAGATACAGCAAAGAGACCAAACAGGAAATCTGAACCTACTTTGGGAGAGCTAGACGTTTGTGTTTTACTAGAACATCACCTGATGATGCTGTTTACTCAATCCATCTCCAAAAGCCTGAAGAATGCAGCTATTACACCAACAAGATCAGCAAGGAGAAGCTAGATGAGTTCAAAGATGTGGTTCAAAGCTTACCTGAAGGAATCATCTTTGCCAGAGCCTGAAAATACTACATAATCGGCCATTACTGATATGTTCATAAAATGGATCATTTAGCTTGCATGTTTTAGTCCAAATCATGTCTTATTTCATGCATTTTAGGTCTTTAGGTGTTGATTTAAGACTTAGGAAATTGCATTAGGTCCAAGTGAGTCTTTGCATGGTTTGAAGTCTTAATCAGGTACTTTGGAGGTTTTTGGAGTGGAAGAGGTGGAAATGGTGTTTGGAGGTTCAGAAAAGGTGGAAATGGTTTTTTTTGGATCCATCGGCAAAGCCATGTACCGTGGGTTACTATTACTCGGCTAAAAACGTTCACCGGGTGATTTATCTCGGCCAAATGCTGTACTCGACCAGGAGTTTATCGGTTGAAATTTCATGCCGAGTGGATCGTGTTTTTATCGGCCAAAATGCTCATTGGGAGACCAGTTTATCGGCTAAAAGTTGCGCATCAGTACATGAGCCCTCAGCTAAAACTTGTTCTTTCAATACGTCTCAAAGATCACTCGTCCCGGGAATCTTAACGTCCGATTCAGCTGTCGGGATCTTCATCAAAGTTGGAGAGGATCGAGTCAGAGTTCTAGAACAGCTGAAATCAAAGGATTCGGATCAGTGAGCTGAGAGATATGGCCATTGGAAGACATGCCTGTTTCGCTTGTATTCCAGACCGATCCAATATGCTTCAAAGGTTATGCAGGACGATGCCTTTCCAGACCGATTAAGTTTCCGAAGCCTTCATCAAGATTCAAGAGCTTCCAGTCCACTTTCCAGAACACTTGAGATCACACAATGTAAAGCTCTGAGCTGGGAGATAGAGTTTCCAGAGTAAACACAGGTTCTAAAGCCCTTTTCCGGAGCATTCCGATGTGTCTCAAAGATTGACCGTCCTGGAGACCTTCCTCTCGCCGGATGCAGATGGTCCCTTCAACAAAGTTGGATCTGAGTGCGTTGTATTTCACCAAGAGTTGGAATATTTGGATTCTGAGTGCTGAGCAGGAAGTTACAATAGTTTAAGTGTTGAGAGGTTCCTGGCACCGAGATGAATACCGAGCAGAATAACCTCGGTGCTGGTCATACTTTGAGGATCTTGCTACACTGAACCTAACAACGTGGACCACACCGAGATAATACACCCTGGTGCTAGGTGAGCCTTGCATCAATCCTTTTTCATGTCAGCACCGACCACAACATCGGAGAAGAGCACATCCGTGTAATTTGCATCGTTTCAACCTTTCCTGCCACATCGAGCTCCACACCGGTAGAGCTTGAATACAAAGCTTTTTGAGCTGTTAAACTGTTGAATTTTGACATCAAGACCTCCCAAGGGAAGAGGCTCCTCCAGCTGCATGAACTTGAAGAGATCAGACTTGATGCTTTAGAGAGCTCAAGAATCTACAAAGAAAGAACCAAGACCTTACATGATCAGAAAATCCTAAAGAGAAAGTTCAAAGAAGGTGACTTGGTCCTCTTATTCAACTCTAGGCTCAAGTTGTTCCCTGGTAAGCTGAGATCCAGATGGTCAGGACAATTCAGAGTTCTTGAGGTTAGAAGCTATGGAGCATTGGTCTTGGAAGGTAAGGATGGCAAGGGTTTTGTGGTGAATGGACTAAGAATCAAGCATTACCTGGTTTCAGAGAAGAGAGAGGAGGCTTCAACAGTTTCTCTTGATGACCCACCAACCTGTTAAACAGGTTTTCAAAGTAAAACTTAGTGACATTAAACAAAGTCCTCTTGGGAGACACCCCAAGCTTATCCTTGTACATATTTCTTTTTAATCTTTTCACTTTCTTTCTTTTTATGTTTTTATGATGTTTTTGATGTGTCTGTTGAGTGTGTTCAGGTATAGAAATGTTCAGGAGTTGTCCAAAGAAGAAGGAATGGTGCCAAAGAAAGGTAAAGACATGCTGCACCAAGTTAAATCCGGACTGGGACACACCGAGCTCAACATCGGCCATATGCACCTCGGTGTGGGAAATTTTCTTTGGAAAAGTTTAACACCGGGGACAGCATTGGGCAAATGACCCTCGGTGTAGAATTAACACGAGAACGTGGAAAATACCGGGAATATGATGGCCGGTGTAGAAACTCCCCAGACTATGCAGCACAACACCGAGATCAGCATTTGGGAGATCAAACTCGGTGTAATTCTTGCCTAAAAGCATTCTGATTAGTACCGGGGATTACACCGGGTAAGAGAAGGCCGGTGTAGAACTTTTCTCCAAGAAAGACTCAACACCAGGGACCACACCGGGGACATGAAGGCCGGTGTAGAACACGACTTGGGAAGAAGAGGACAGCACCGGAACAAGCACCTGGGAGACTTAAACCGGAGTAAAACGCAAAGTGGGAAGGGAAACTCAACACCGGGGGTCACACCGTGTAAATGGAGCTCGGTGTTGAGATTTTCCCCAACACGTACACCAGCACCAAGGTCTATACTGGACACAAGCAGGCCGGTGTTGAACCTCCCGAGTCTGCTCAAAACAACTCCGGGACCGGCACCTGAAAGAACAAGCTTGGTGTAGAAACCCTCGGAAACACAGCTGAACAACACCGAGCTCAGCATCGGGAAGAAAAAGCTCGGTGCAGCTTGATGCACCTATTTACCTGGCAGTCCATAGGGTGTACCTGGTCAAATTTGATAACTAAGGTTTTTAAAGCCTTAGATGGGGGTATCAATCCCCTTGTCAAAGTAGTATAAGGGGTGTCAATCCATATGTGTGGTAGTTAGGCACTAGTTTATGTGATAGGTTCTTAAGTCAAGTAATCAAAGATGAGTTTTGTGAAACCAGCAACAAGAAAGCATAAAACAAGAAACAAACAAGCTATGATTAATGAACTAAGCAAGCAAACAAAACAAGATGATGGTGATTAAGCAAATGATAAAAGCTAAACCTCTAGATGTGATCATTGATTAGGGTGCTTTAGATATTGAATCATGATGCTAAGAACATAATGCAACACTTGCTACTCTTTAGTCTAGGCTTCTTAATCAGATTAATTCATTCCCATGACAATAATCCCTTTGCAAATCACTTAATCAAGTCTAACAACCATTAGATATAATCAAGCAATCAGCAAGCATAATGCATCAAGCCTAATAAGTGACCAAACAATCTCTCAACCAAGAAGACTGAATCTTATACAGAAAGACATAACAAGCAATCACATGATCTCAAACATTTCAACTTAGAACTCTAATCTAGACTAATCCTCTCATGAAGGCATTAATCTCTACACTAATCCACTTTCAAACCAAATCATCATTTGTGAAATATGAATCAATGAGCATTAAGAAACAGTTCTAATATGCCATTCATGCATTTAACAATCATTCCCATGACATTAATGCATAAACCCTTAGTTAGCTTTCATTCAGGCATTTCATCAAACACTTTTGGTGCATGAAAAACCCAGATTCTAGACCCAAGTGATGTGCAAGGATCTAGCATTAGGATCAGCTAACTAAGGAAAGGAGAAAAGAATCTAAGCTTAAACAATCATTAATCTACATCTAAGCACCCTAATCTACACACCTAGAAGCTTAAAAGATGACTACTCACTAATCATGAAGAACACATCTAATCTTTTGCAAGAGATGATGTTAATCATGATTAGAAGCAGAAATGAGATGATGAGATGATGAGAAACAGACTTAGATTGATTAAATCCTTGAGATCTCTCTTAATCAAAAACGTTTTTACACTAAAAAGGAAAGAAAACTAGAGAGAAACTAAGAGAGAAGATGATATCCTTGGGTTTTTCTCCCAAAAAACTATATATACCTAGTGCTAATGGACCGGGTCAGCCCAGGACAAACTGGGTACTGACCCGGCTCAGTTGGGTCAAGTGGAAAACCTGCGGGTCAGTCCAGTATGTCCCAGGTCGCACACCTAAGTCGCAGTAGATGAAGACTTGTCTTGTGAAGCCTGAATCGCCTTGTCTTAGCCGCACGCCTAAGTAGGAGTGTTTTGCGAGTGTTGCTGCGGCTTGGTCTCCTTCCTCTCCAACTCGCAGGGCTAAGGCGGTTTCTGGGGAATGTACAAACTGTGCGGGTTGGTCTCTATTGCACCTAGGTCGCAGGCTCAAGTCGGAGTGATTTGCGAGTGTTGCTGCGGCTTGGTCTCCTTCCTCTCCAACTCGCAGCATCCAGAGCAGCTTAGACCACTTCGCATTCCGGAGAGTGTAACTCCTATGAGACTTGTCCGAATTGAATGATTTCGGTTGCAGAAGACAGAGGACTCATTTATCTCCAACTTTGGTGAAGAAAGCTTCGGTGCTTGGGAAGTGTAAGGCTTCCTGGAGGGCACATCTTTGCAGTGCATGTACACGACCAGAGAGAGGCGTCTAGACATGTGTCCATTCCGGAGACTGTATCTTTCTGCTCATAGATCCGAATTGAATGCTCTTGGACGTTCTGGAAAGAAGACTCAAATGTCTATGGTTCTCATGAAGGACCCGGAAACTAAATCGGCCTGGAAGTGCACCGTCCTTCGCATCCTTTAGAGCTGATCTGCTCGGTCCGGAATACCTGCGAGACTGGGGTTCCTTCCGACAAGCTTATCTCTCTGCTCACGCGTCCGAATTCCACGATTCTACTTGCTAAGAGACCGTGATGCAATGCTCTCCAAATTCTATGAAGCACCCGCCGTCTGAATCGGACCGGAAGGCTCCCCGGACAGGCGATCATTCAGGGGTATCGGATTGCTCCGGAACGAGTGCGAGACCTGTTCGTCTTCCGATTACCATATCTTTCAGTTCTGTGGTCCAAATGCCTTGATTCCAACTGTTATGAACTCTTGACTCAATTATCTCCAACCTTTATGAAGACTCCGATAGCTGAATCTGACCGGAAGGTTCCCTGGACGGGCGATTTCGGAAACGTGTCTGCACCCGGAGATTTTGGCCGAGAGACTTGACCGCGGTACGTGTTTTTGGCCGAGAAAGCTACCCGCGGGAAGGATTTTGGCCGAGAATCTTCGGCCATCAGTATATCATTTTGCCGAGAAACCCAAAATTGCTCCTTTTCACCATTTTTGATCATTTCAACTCCATTTCTTCATCTGAATCACATCCTCCACTCCAAATAAACTCCAAAAGCACCTGTTTAACACTCCAAAACATGCAAAACTCTCTTGGACCTAATGCAATCTCCTAAGTCCTAAAACAATGCTTAAACACCTAAATTGCATGCAAATGAGACATGATTTGGACTAGAATATGTACATTAAATGATGCAATTTATGAATATATCAAAATTCAACAGAGGACAGCCCTCACCAGCTGTATCCCACACCGACCTAGAGACTTAAGTCTCTTCTTCCCCGATACTAGGCTTGCCTCTCTTTCACTCTCAGAACTTCTTTTTCTCTTAACTTGCTCATTTTAACTCGGTTTTTCGTGATTCTTATTGCGCTGAGCTCGTTTTTCCATCCTCTTTCTGTTCCTGCTAACGTCTCTAGCAGCATTTCACTTAATCCCAAGGTAATCAATCATGAAAGCATCCCATCTTGTACTTGAACTGAATCGGTTTTTGAAAGATTTTTTCTTGAAGAAATGTTTCTTGAAATCGGTTAATGCACTGTTATAGGAACTTATAACCTTGGGATTCAGGCTGGAAATGAGTTAGAAAGGGACCCCTGTACTTGATTTCTGTTCTTGAACTGAGTTGTGCATTTCTTGAGAAACTTGTCTTTGAGCAGTAATTTTGGTGCAAGAATTGTTCTGGGCTGATCCGATTTTTTTTTTTGATGTGGTAAATTGCTGTGGACTGATTTGGATGTGCTCTTCATGCTAAAGTTGTTTCCAAAACTTCACAGTGGTTTTACCATTTTTGATATCATAAAATCGTACAAGTGGTATTGTCTTGGTTTATATGCTCATTTCTTGTGTGAGACTTGTGTTTTCAGGAACAATGGAAAAGACCAGAGGCTCTGATGCACCAGAAGGGACAAAAAAATCTGCTAAGAAAAACAAGCAGATTGTTATGAGAAAAGGAGAAGCCTCAACCTCCAAAGCCCAAAGAAAACGAACTGAAAGGGGAGAGGCCGCTGGTGATGATGTGAGAGTTGTTCAAACAGCTGCTGGGAAAAGAAAAAAGACAGAGAGCAAGAGGTCAAAGAAAGCCAAGGAACCATCTTTTGCTGATTACTTGAAGAAGCTGAGAGAGATAGAGATGGAGCCAACTTGGTTTCCTGATTGTGAGTTCCTTGAGAATCTTGGGATTTTAGAAGATGTGAGGACCATTACCAAGATAGCTGGTCTTCAGAACTTGATTGACATGCCGCACCATGCTTACAATGATTCCACAGCTCAATTCCTTGCCTCATTGCTTGTAACTTACCACCAAAATGAAGGGCATTGTTCCATTGACTTCAAGATTGGTGTGGAGAGATATGAGATGCCTTTTGCTATAATATGTAAAGTTTTTGGGTTTGCCACTGAAAACAGATCTGATCTTGGTGAGCCATCTGCCACCACAGAAGATGTAGAAGAACTTTGAAAACTCTCAGCCAATGGAGGTTATCTTGCTGGGATAAGCAAAGCTTCTAACTTGAGGAATCCAGCGATAAGAATGGCTCACAAGGTTGTTGCTCAGACATTCTTTGGAAAGAAAGAGTTTGGGTCTGTGTCTCAGAAAGAGATGAGGATTGTGCAAATGGGGATAAAGGCTTTCTTGCCTTTTTA